AAAACCAATAAAGTTGTAAGATAAAACTCCCATACAAAAATCAGTTGTATATATATATATATATATATATATATATATATCTGTATATGCTGATTTGTATATCTGTATATATCTGAAATACATATATTTCAAAATTATTAGTGATATGTAGATCAATACAAAGTAATTAACTACAAAGTGGTATGTATCTTATTTTGTGCTATGTTTTCTAACTCTTCTATCACTTCATTTGAGTCACAGCAAAGGCTATCATATGTAATCAGTATGGTCAAAACATTCATTTTTTCTAATATCTCACTGAACAGCATGCCAGGGGTTGAGATCATGTATTTACTATGTGCTTCCCATTAATTGCTTCTTTCTGACTCTAGAAATTTTATGTCAAGTGATTTTCAAAACAGCTAAGAACTTCTGTTGCTTACTTAAGTTTTGAGAAGGTTTTTGTCTACCTATACCACACTACAGGAACACATTCAGCAAAGTACAGACAGAAGACTGCAAAGCCATGCAGAGCTAGCCCAAGTGATTTAGGTATTTTCAAAATTCGCCCAATTCGATTTCTAGACTTCTTTGTTTCTTTCTTATATTAAGTTATTTAATTTAAATGCAAGGTCACGTTTCAATGCCTCAGACATTTGCAAAAAAGGACTAAGGAATGTTCATTAAATTGGGAACAGGAAAGGATGGGAGAGAAGTCCTGCTGCAAAACTCCACAGTCAGCAAGAGAAGTGCAGTGATTCACGATGTTTACTACTGCTGGCTAACTCACATGGAATTTCCAGGAGGAATAGAAGAGTGATGGGAGTGGTGAAAATAAGATAGGAGCATGCAGATGTAATCCTGACACCTTTCTTTCCCCTCAATAACCTGAAGAGTCCAGTCCAGTCAGACAGAGTGAGTCTAAAATGTGGTGGCCTGCACTATTCATGGGTGGCAACTTTTATTCTAATTATAGATATATAAAAGCATTGCTCATCATTAAGAGGGTTTGATGTATTTCTGATTACAATACTTCGGTCACTGTTAGCCGAGACAGATATGTGATTATTTTCTAAAGTGATGTATAATTGTCTACATTGTTAACAAGAAATCCTTTCATAGACAGTGCAGATTTCTTTTTCTTTCCTTTACCTGTCTTTTTTGTTTGTTTTGTTTTGTTTTGTTTTTTGAGATAGGGTCTCACTGTGTTGTTGAGATTGACCTGGAACTCACTATGTAGTCCCAGCTTCCCGAGTGCTGGGATTACAGGTGTGTGCCACTAGAATTCTCTTTCACCTGTCTTTAACGCCTTCCCTCTTCCAACTAAATTGTCATTTCTGTTAAAACAAAATAGGGGCTGGGGATGTAGCTCAGTGGCACTGCACCTGCCTGGCAAGCACAAGGTCCTGTGTTTGATCCCTGGTACCAAAAAAATAAATAAATAAATAAAACAAAATACTCATTGAAACTGAGGAAATGGATGGACTCAATCTCCCAAATTTTGGGTTATTGTCTTACAGTATTCAACATACATTATAATGTAATAAATATTTTAATTTCTTAAGGATGTTGATCTCTATATTCCTGAGAGAAGACTTTTAAAATTTTCTGCTACAAATATTGGCACTTAATCATAGAAGAATATTGTATGGAGATAGTTCGAGGATAAAAACACACATAGAGCAGTTGTTCTCCAACATTAATAAATCAATTGAACTCATTTCTATACAACCTATAAGCTTGAAGAAGTTAAGAACCAAAATAGTGGTAAGGAAACCTAACAACATAGCAGTTACGATCTATGGCATTGTTTCTCATTTAGGCTTGATATATACTTCCTTTCCTGACTGAGCCAAAGTGAACCATTTGAAAAAGAAACACACGCAGGCTAAAACTCATGCAAACTTTTAAAGCAACTGTTGACCAAGGAGTTTCCCATTAAAAAAACAAACAAACAAACAAAAAAAAACCCTAAGAAATTCTAAATTCCTTGACTAGCAATTAGGACCCTTGAATTTCCTCAGATAGAAAGAAGAATCAGAAGACAGGATGAGAATGGAGGTTAAATACAGCTGCCTGTGGTGTAGAAGCGAGATGCTAAGGTTTCTCACGAGATTTCTCCACCCCACCCCACGCAGGAAGCCTCCCAGAGCCATCTGCAAATCATTCTGACGCCAGTTCCACTATTCCGGATAGAAACACAATGGGCCGGGGTAAGCTTGGGAGGACAAGCAAGTTCTTTCGCCCCAGTCCTTCCTGCCAGTGTTCCCGAAGTGTTCTGGGACGCCAGGTCCTGAAATGCCCCGAGTAGAGAGAAACATTCACCACCCCACTGACAACTTTCTTTTTCTCTTGGTCTAAGCAGGGTGTTTGACCTTCTGGCTGGGCTGTGAATTCCCAGTGCTCAGGCGCCAGCTGTGCTCCTGATCTCAGAATAAATCGGGCTGCTCTGGCCTGGCAGAGCTCAGGTCACGCTTCCTGTCGCGGCCTAGGGGAAGCTGCTGGCCATAGGGTTCTGGTTGGGGATTCCTGGAGGATGGGAGGACGAGGGCGGAGGAGAGGGGACGGGGGGAGCAGGGTAGGGAGCCAGCTGCAGAGGGCGGTGACCGCTCTCGGAGTCCTCGGGGCGCAGTCGGCGGGACAGAGCTAAATTGGGAGCAGCTGCGGGCCCAGGCCTTCGAGATGAGGCCGGCGCTCGCCCTGTGTCTCCTCTGTCAGGCGCTCTGGCCCGGGCCTGGCGATGCGGAGCACCCCACCGC